TGATCTATTTCTGGTCCTTTGAAAGCTATTCATGGTCATGTGAAAGCAGTTTTTGCAATTTGGTTCGCTTGGGTTGCTCTATTTTGCAGAAAGACTCAAAATAAGAGATAGACTGAGTCTTTACAATATCCATGGCTCTGGAATGGTCAAGGCCAAACTCATTAAAAGCCAGAGATGGGACCCAGGACACAAGATCATGGAGGCCTCTCAGATGGAGGCAGGAGTGGTGAAGTTATAGTAGAATACTTCTGCACGTGTAAAGGCAGAAGAGAGAGTTTCTTCTCTCTCCATTCTCATGACACTGCTTAATTCTGGGTCACATAGGAGCTTGGGGCTGCCCTGCAAATGACGTTGGCTGTTACTGTTCTGAAAACATGTATGTAGAACTTATTTCCCATGGAGTTCCATTATGGCAACTTTCATCTAGGACCAAATTTCTACCCCACTAGGGCCTCTTATGTCATGGAGTTTATGCCAAAATATTATCTCCCTGACAGCTGTGATCCAGTTATACTGACATTATACCCACCAAGTATACTTAAGCCCACCTCTCAGCTTTCGGGACAAGATGAAGTATTTGTCACAGTCCTCAATACGTACCTGAATTTCACCTTCATTTTTGATACTATTTGCAACCCTTTTGCCTAAGGAAATTAGCCTACTGTGGTGATTAGACTAATACCTAGTGGAATCTATCTTGGCAGCTCTTAGGATATTAAAAAAAAAAAAAAAAAAAATACACCCTCCTGCTTCCAACAGTCTTTACTTCCCCAGTTTTAATCTATAATTTTGTGTATCCATTTGGAGTTTTTCACCCATCAGAACAACACTGTTTTGTTTTCATGAAATATTTTATTGGTTTCTTATGTATTTTCATCATTAAATGCACTTGGGTTATAACTCAACTCTTTGTGCAGAAGCTGGCTTTTCATATCGTCATTAATAGTTCATAAGCTCCATAGAATTACTTTAGGCCTTTTTAACCAAGTATCTTGAATCTTAACATCCAGTGTCATTTTAGCTTTCAGTTTAGAAAAAAGATCATTCTGTGACTGGCCTTGCTGTCTCAGGAGACCTTGAATAAGAATTTTATTCTTGTTTCTTTTGAAGTTCAGGATGCTTGAAAAACCTAGAGTGTAGAAAGTGCTGCGTGTCAGAAGTAACAAAATCATGCCTATTAAGTGACCTTACAGACGGGTAAGCACTGTAAGGTCAAAGAAGGAAATCTTCCATCAAAGCTCATCAGAAACCTCCTAAGTGTAGCACTCAAAGTCCAGAAGACACCTGGGGAGACCCCGGATCCATTACTAAGCCACGTGCCTGCTTCTCCCCAGCCTGTTAGGAAGCCACAGTGAAATCAGGTCTCTTACTGGGTCCAGACCTACCAGATCTGCCCAGCTGCATTGGGTGGGGAAACATGCATGGGTGCCTTTGTAATCTTGATGTTTATTCCCCAGAGAAGCCCCACTTAGAAATTTGAGGAGGGAACTGCTTAAGTCTGGGAATAATGAAAACTTAGTATATATTTTTCAGAGCTCTAACTCAATGGGGTACTTGGGGTTGGATTGCTTTCTTTTTCTTTCTCTTTTTCCTTCCTTTTCCTTCCCTTTCTTTCTCTTTTAAGTTGAAAAGAGACTTGGTTTTCGTAGTCAGGGGGAGGCTTTTCTCCAGGTTGTTTCCTCCCAATGTCGATTGTCTATAAGTCCCACTGAGATCCGTACTCATAAAATAAAGCAGCTTGTGTGATCTCCTTCATTATAATCAAGTCAAATCCGCCTTCTTTCAGAATAGTGGGATGTTTTGAAGCACTGGTACATCCCAAAGAAATGACGCCATTTCCTCTACAAATTCATGTTTTCGTAAGATTAGGTGCTTTGAAAGATAGAATAATTTTTCAGTCCCTCTGATGTGTCTAAAACTGCTACACAGAACCTTTATGGAGCAAGAGGAATACAAGAGGACTTTGCTCATCTGAGACAAGACGTTTTTAATTAACTGAAAATCATGCCTATCTTGGAGTGCAGCTGATTCCACTGGAGATGTATTAATGATGAGACTGCTTGCAGCATTTCACAATTGTATTTTGCTTGTATTTCTAAGTGTGATGTAGCAGCTACTGTCTGCTTTTTTAAATCAAGTTGATTCTCTTGTCTGCTTGGGGAGATAGCACCCCCGGGGACAGGGTCACAGGACGCTTTTACTTGATTGTTTTTGGTGCTTCTCAAACTTCCATGTGCATATGAATCACCTGTGGATTTTTTTAAACTTCAGATTCTAACTCAGCAGGTCAGGGCTGGGGACCAAGACTCTGCATTTCTAACAAACTCCAGGTCATGCTGATGCTGCTGGCCCGCAGACCACACTTTGAGCAGCAAGTTTTTAGAATATTTTCGTAAAAATCCCCAATTTAATAATTCTGAAATTGGAGTGTGAGAGTAGAGTAGAGAGAGTAGAGTGGGCGTGTCTAAGGACAGGGCAGTGGTGGTATTTCTACCTTCATAAAAGCAGATCTGATGGTTCACGTCCCGGTGGATGCATCTTTGTACAAAGGTTGCATCCCTTGTGCCCTCTACTACTCTTAGTAGCAAACTAATGAACAGTTTATATCTGAATTCCTTGAGAATGGAGATTATATTTTACTGTGTTCCAGTCTTCATATTCCTGGAGCCTAGCAAATTCCCAGGCACCTAATAGATGGCCAGTTAGTGAGTTGAATTGAATCAAACTGAATTGATTGAGCTTCATCAGGTCATATAGAGATGACCTGGTTTTACTCTTGTTTCTCCTTTAAGAGATTTATATTGCTTTTATGTACAAATTTAAAATTCTGTCAATAATTTATAACTGATCAATATCCAGAGTTATATTCTACTTTAAAATATTTTTTCTTAAAATGCAACATGAAAAAATAAATAGAAATACAAATTAAAGGTAGTGAACATTCGAGAATCCCAAAGTCCTTTTAGTCCTAGGAATACTAAACAAAATTCTATCTGCAATAAAAGCACTTTGGCAATCATTTCTTATTTAAGAATTTTATTCCAGCGATAAGAAAGAAGGCATTCCTGGACTATTTTGGCAGATTCAAGCCTCTTCTTCTCACTTCTGTTAGAGTACAGGTTATTATTGAGTCTTCACTAAATTATGCAAATCCGAAATATTAGAAAATATTGCATCCTAGAGGGAGTTCAGTAAGTCGTTATATCAACCTCAGTATGCATGAACGAACTTGAATGCTATTTTTTCTTTTCTTTGAGGAAGATTGACCCTGCGCTATCGTCTGTTGCCAATCTTCCTCTTTTTCTTTTTCTTCCAAAGCCCCAGTACCTAGTTGTGTATCATAGTTGTAGAGTTGTAGCTCTTCTATGTGGGATGCTGCCTCAGCATGGCTTGGTGAGCTGTGAGTATGTCCACGCCCAGGATCTGAACCAGCAAACCCCAGGCCGCCAAAGCGGAATGCGCAAACTTAATCGCTATGGGACTGGGCCGGCCCATGAATGCTATTTTTTCATTATTTTCTTTCAGTATTTGATTTTGCTTTTATTTTTTTAACAGCTTTATTTAGATATTATTTACATACCAGTTCAGTCGTTAAAAGTCTACAATTAGCTTTTAGAATATTCACAGAGTTGTGTATCCATCACCACAATCAATTTTAGAACATTTTCATTACTCCAAAAAGAAATCCTGCACTCCTTAACCATCACTCCCCAATTCCTCCATCCCCCAGCCCTGGGCAACCACTAATCTACCTTCTGTCTCTATAGATTTGCCTATTCTGGACACTTCATATAAATGGAATCATACAATGTGTGGTCTCTTGTGACTGGCTTCTTTGACTTAGCATGTTTTACAGTTGATCCATGTTGTAGCATGTGTCAATACTTCATTCCTTTTTATGGCTGAAGAACATTTCATTTTGTTTATCTGTTCATTAGTTAATGGACATTTAGGTTGTTTCCTCTTTTCAGCTATTAGGAATAATGCTGCTATAAACATTCACATACAAGTCTTTGTGTGAAAATATGTTTTTATTTCTCTTGTATATATACCCAGGAATGGAATTGCCAAGTCATATATTAAGTCTGTGTTTAGCCTTTTGACAAATTGCCAGACTTTTCCAAAGTGATTGCAACATTTTACATTCCCATCAGCAGTGTATGAGGGTTCCAGTTTCTCCACATCCTCCCCAACACTTGTTATATCTATGGCTGTGTGATTATAGCCATCCCAGCCATGCTACCGTCCTAGCCATAGTAGAAGTGGTATCTCATTGCAACTTTGATTTGCATTTCCCTGATGACTAATGATGTTGAGCATCTTTTCATATGCTTGTGGACCATTTGTATATCTTCTTTTTCTTTTCCTTTTTTTTTTTTTGCTGAGGAAGACTGGCCCTGAGCTAACATTTGTTACCAATCCTCCTCTTTTTTTGTTTGAGGAAGATTAGCCCTGAGCTAACATCCGTGCCAATCTGTCTCTATTTTGTATGTGGGTCACCGCCACAGCATGGCTGACAAGTGGTACAGTGGGATCTAAGCCTGCAAACCCAGGCTGCCAAAGCACCGAACTTTAAGCACTACGTCATGGGGCCGGCCCCTGTGTATCTTCTTTTGAGAAATGTCTTTTCAGACCCATTGCCCACTTTTTAATTGGGCTATTTGTCTTTTTATTATTGAATTGTAAGAGTTCTTTATATATATTCTAGATACAAATTCCTTATTGGTAATATGATTTGCAAAAAAATTTTCCCATTCTGTGGGTTATCTTTTTACTTGATAGTGCCCTTTGAAGCACAAAAGTCTTCAAATTTGATAAAATCCAATTTATTTTTTCTTTTGTTGCTTGTGTTTTTGACGCCATGTTCAAGAAACCAGTGCCTAATGCAAGGTCATGAAGGTTTACACCTATGTTTTTTCTAAGAATTTATAGCTGTCACATTTAGGTCTTTGATCCATTTTGATTTAATTTTTGTATATGATGTTCTTTTATTGTTTAAGTGCTGTGATCTTGGCTACCATGCAAGTCTGAACAGAGCCCTAAGAACATACCTGTCTGCAGAGTATAACCTTGAAACCTCCAGACACGAAGGCTTAGACATCATTGAGAACGCCGTTGACAACTTAGAGCCCAGGAGTGATAAGCAGAGATTCATGGAGATGTACCCAGCTGCGTTCTGTCCACCAATGAAGTTTGAGTTTCAGTCTCACATGGGTGATGAGGTCAGTAATTGATTATTTTAAAACTAATGAATTACCTCTTCACTTATGTTACTCTTCACCTGCTGTAACCCAACAGTTGTAAGAATTCCAGTTGTTTTCTCTCTCCTGCCTTTCCATGGGATCTTAGTGTAGTATTATGCTGAGATCAGCCACTACCACCTTATAAAGCAAAGATCAAACACTCAGATGCCTACAGAGGCCAAACAGATAGAGGTGAAAACTGTTGGGTGTAGCGCTCAACTGTCTCAGGATAGGGAGTTCTCCCTCCCCCTCAAGACATTCAGATTTAAATTCAAAACAAAACATTTTGCTGGCCCAATAGAATCGATCTGAAGACTTCTTGTAATCCTGATTTAAAGATCCCCATAAAGAAAAATATGGTGAATGCTAGGAAAATGGGAGAGAGGAAAAAATGCAAAACATTTTAAGACTCAAGTTGTCTCCACACTAGTAAAATGAGCATCAGAAATGATATATTATATCTTAAGTTCTTTATATGAAGTTAGTTTCTATCCTGTTTTACCCAAGGAAAAAAAATCCATTTAAACTGTTTATGAGTTACAGTCGTATATTTTATTGTCTGCGGACAGGGAAAAACAAGAAGAACCAATTAATGAAGCATGCTATATAGCACTTGGTGTCCTAGCTGTGCAAAACAATACTCATAGATTAAAAACTCAATTTTAGCTCATTGTGGTGACAGTATGTTTTTAAAAATAGATGTAATTATAATATCCATGGCAGATTTCTTTAATGTCATAATTTTTTCTGAAATACCTAGTGTTAAGACTTATATATATGTGTGTGCCTGCTGTATTTCTAACAATTTTATTTTTGCTTGATATGATAGAGTGAATTACTTGATTAGAAATGGTAGGCAGTTTTTATGCCAATAGCACATGAATTTGACAGGCAAGTGGCTTAAACCACCCAGAGTTATATTTTCAAAACCAACTGGGTTTTGTTTTAATTTTTCAGTTAATAGATATATTAAACATAGAATGATAAAATATCACGGAGAAGTGACTTCATTGGATTAATAGGTTTTTTATTATTATTATTATTTTAATAAAGTGAGTGTGTTGCCCTTTTATATGGCCAGTTCTGCCAGGGAGCAATGATCTCTATGATGTTTTGGAGACTCCATACAAAGAACGACCCATCTGCCAAGAGCATTTCTATAACAAGGAAGATAAGAAGAAATTGTTTGTTTCTGGTGCAATTTTAATATAATTAAACGGCTCTAATTTTGATCTTGTCCATAATTGAGATCATGGCCAAAATATCTTTCTACCAAAGCCTAAGAGAAATGGCCTCTTCAAGTTCATGGTGAATCAGGGGACTTGGCTGATATTGGCAAGGCAAGCCATGGTGAAAGATGCTAAAAATAGTTATTCTCATTTTCTGAGTTTTTCCTATGTGCCAGGCAGAGGTCTAAGTGCTTTATGTACATTACCTCATTTCATCCCCACAACAGCCCTATGGTGTAGGAACTCATTAGCCCTATTTTACAGATAAGGAAACTGAGGTTTAGTAACTTACCACAGTGCCTGGCTGGCTGGCGCCCTGGTGTGACTGCGGGTTCTGATTCCCCATCAGGTGTGTCAGGTCAGCGCTCAGCAACCAGTCCAGGCGGAGCTCATGCTCAGGTACCAGCAGCTGCAGTCCCGACTGGCCACGCTCAAGATCGAGAACGAGGAGGTGAGCATGCTCTGTGCCCCATGAGTAAGCCGAATTCTGGTGTAAACCGGGAGACGTTGTCACGTGACCTCAGCATGTTTGACATTCTAAATGCAGTCTCTTCATCGGGCTTTTTCAGCTAAATCGGGGTTCCTAAAATACTCTTTGTAGAGGATAAATGCAGGCATTCTGTATTCTACTATAGTTGAGTACTTTATCAGGGATTCACTGCATATGCACGTAAACACGCCTTTTATTCTTAAATTTGTAATTCGTGCTGAAAATAGTTCCCATACATTATCAAATTCAACGTATGTATCTAAGAATATACAATAATGTGTAAATGCAACTTTTGACTGACAGGTTGATTTAATCCTAACTTTTGACATTAGTATTTTTTTTATGCTTTTTGGTATTCTCTAGATTTTTGGTCCTGAACATGGCATCACTGATATAATTAGTACAAAAATCCTATTTTAAAATAATACTCGAATGAGAAGAGAAAACTGTTTATTTGCTGACATTAGTGGATTTAAATAGATAGAACATAAAACGCAGGGGCCGGCCCCCATGGCTTAGCGGTTAAGTGCACGCACTCCACTACTGGTGGCCCGGGTTCAGATCCTGGGCGCGCTGACGCACGGTTTCTCCCGCCATGCTGAGGCCGCGTCCCACATACAGCAACTAGAAGGAAGTGTAACTATGACATACAGCTATCTACTGGGGCTTTGGAGAGAAAAAGGAGGAGGATTGGCAATAGATGTTAGCTCAGAGCTGGTCTTCCTCAGCAAAAAGAGGAGAATTGGCATGGATGTTAGCTCAGGGCTGATCTTCCTCACAAAAAGAAAAAAACATAAAATGCAAATTATAAATATATGTTGAGCCAGAAAGCAGTTGTACAGTTCAGCTGCCTGTTTCTGAAATTAATTTAATTGGATCCACGTTCTCCTTAAATAAAAATATGAACCACAAATGTTTCTTGTATTAGTCAAGGCTTTCAGTTGTAATTTACGGGAACCCAAATCAAACTTATTCAAGTTAGAAAGTTTACTTATTGGTCAGTGTTTGCCATAACCTCAGGCATGATTGGCTCTGTGTTCAGATGATATTATCAGGACTCTCCCTCTTTTTGTCACTTTGAAGTGATATCTTCATGTGTGTTTGTAGGAGTTTTTGTCCCCTGTGCTGGGAGAGTCAGGACCACGTGGTCCCTACAGGTTGCCGGTCTCACCTCATCCCAGTGCCCTTATCTCTGAAATAGGATCCTTCATTGGCCTAACTTAAGTCATGCATACTTCTGGAGCAGCTGATACATCCAGGAAATGGGGTTCTCTCAATGGTCTGCCTAGATATTGTGCCCACTCATGGAGCCCTTTGATTGACAGCCCCAACAGGAATGTGTATTTCTACAGACAAACAATTCCCAAAACAAAGGAATGTGGGACAGAAGAAAACACAATAATTCATCTTGGTAAAATTATCAAAATTCACTTTAGTGCCCTCTTTTATTTTAATCCCACTGAGATGTTTTGAGCTATGTGAATATGTGTTTATTTCTGTTAAGAAAGAGTGATATGCTTCTAGACCACTATAGTTTGGTCAAAACCCATTGTAGCTTTCTGGCTTCCATTCTTCCTAAAAGAACTAAACCACCCCTTATTCAAACATGTGTATTCAAGATGCAACCAGTATGATTAAGACTTCAATCTCTGTGTGAAGTCCCACATATGAGCCTTTCCAGAGGAAAGCTGTTGCTCTCTTTGACGTGTTTTAGAGCTTAGGATTTTGGCGAGGCATCGCAAAATACTTGCCTAATGCAGTTTACCGGATTCTGGTAGATGTACGGTTTGTATGTCTAGTGACTTCCAATTTTTTTTCACGCGTATCCTCCTGCTGTTTTATTTGGAAACATTCTCTAAACTCCAGGAAAGAAGTGTGTTATATACAAGGTCAGAGCTGGCAACCCACAGAGGTGTTTTGCTTGTCTCCTGCAGTTTGGGCCTGTTAAAGACAGGGAGTCTGGCGACTCTGGCCATGCATTGCCCCATGACGGCAAGAGCTGGGGTATTTGACTTCCTCTTTGCCATGGTTGTTCAGCTCCAGATTTTCTTACATTGGACTCGTCCGTTTCTGTTACCTGTCTGGCCTCTGTGGGACTTTGAGTTTGTGACCCTTGATGGATGCCCCTTTGGGCATAATGTGGAGAAGCACAGTGTCCTTATAAGCTGACAAAGGCAGGCAATGCTTTCTGAGGGTCAATTTTAAAAAACTTACCATAGACACAAATGAATTGGGTTATCCTGATGTTTCTTGTGAGCATGACTAGTGGTTTATGATTTTTTGGATATGGAACAAATTCACTGTTTGGGATTGGGATTCCCAATGAAAGAAAGATTTGAATTGGATTTTTGACAGTCAGTAGATTTCCGTAGGTACTGAAGGAGGAAAAGATGTCTCACTGCATTTCAAGGCTGGAGAAGAGGGCAGTGTGACTATCAGCCAGCTTCTCCTTGGGGATGAGCCGAAGGGGAAGTTCAAGTCATATACGAGAGGCCTCGAGAGCCAACTTCGGGAGTTTTAGATACTATGGACCAGTTCTCTTCAGGACAATAAATCTTTGTTGAGCAGCTTCTAAAGTCCACGTATTTTGCCAGGTGTGGGGAGTACAGGGATGAATAAGTCACAGTTAGCGCCTGTCTAGCAAGAGAGCCAGACCATAACAAGTCATTTATATAACATAAAAAAATAAGAGACGTAACTTGGGAACAACATAGCAATCTTTGCTAATTTGGAGTCTTGTGCAGCACTTTTCTCTACCATAAATAAAGAATTTGCCTCTGATCTTCCACTAAATGAAGGACAGAAAATTGACACATTGGTATCAAACCAAAATATACAAGGAAAGAAACATGTATAATTCTGTGTCATTCTCTGCCTCTGCACAAACATATACACACTCATAAAGTCCAAAATTTACTGGAAAGAGTTCAGTTAACTAAAAATAATTATGACTGGCCAGTGAAAAGATTAAAGTTGAGAGAGAATTTCATCCAAGTTTACAAAAGTGTGGACGGTACAGCTAAGTAGAACATGAACCTTTTCTTCAAATCTTAAACAACTACAAGTAATGGGTACCGTTTGAGACTATAGGAAGCCTTTAGAAAGGAGTGTCCATGCTAAGAGCCCACAGACCATATCTGGCCATGGATAAATTTTCTTTGCTCTGCAGTGCTTGATTTTTAAAAATTAGTTGCTGTCATTTAAAAATTGGAAGTTTTAGATAAAAATATTGATTTCCAGTTTCTAAAAAATTAGGAAGTCTGATCAAACTAGACCTGCATTTCTGCAGGACAGTAACTGGCTTGAGCTGAACAATAGATGCTCCCCTTAGACACAGAGTATCTGCTTTCTGTTTGACGTGCTCCCCACTCAGCCCACTCGTCTCATTTTCATTCCTTGCTTGGCCTTTAAAGGTATTTGAGTTAAGGACAGCCTTACTCTTAAGCAGTTTGCCCCATTTTCAGACCATTTGTCCAATATTTGGTCCGAAAGTAGAGCTTTCATAAGCGTATCACTTCTGTGTTATGAGTAAAATTTTCTCACATATAAAACAACTGGTCTCTCTTAAGTTATGGTAGATTTATCCTCCTGAATTGAATGGAAAAGAGAGAAGCCTATAATTAATTTCTCAATTAAGTGGCAACAGTGTTTAATGAACATATAAATTTTCCTAACACCACTTAAAATCTTTCACCATTGGTTTACTAGGGAGTATTTCACAGACTATACCAAAAATGTATTCCTTACACAGGACATTTTCAGCATAATGAACAAGATTTTAGGCAAACATTCGAGAGAATTTTCATGGGATGAGTAATTGAGGAAAGTAAGAGAGATTTTGGTTATACCTCGCTATAAAAATCCTGGGGTAGAAAAATCACATTTCCCCCCTCCCCAAATTTCCCATAGTACAGTGACTGCAGCTGAATCCTAAGTCATGCAAATCAGTGATCAAACCCTTATGGACAATTGTCAAATTCTTTTAAGACTTTTAAGAGTTAAGGTATAAAATGTGAAGCTTGATTACTACTTAATCATAACTGCTGTTTCTGATCTTTTTAACTTCATTTTTACTTATTTGTTTCTTACTTGCCTGCAACCTTCTACTGATGAGGTTGACAGTAAAAGCCTAAGTAAAAGAAAACTGGCATTTATTTCCTAACTGAGAGCATCATCTTGGCCAAAATTGAAAACAAGGTCAACTATCTTTCACTGAAAACGTGTATTTTTAGAAGTAGTATGTATATATTTTTTGTTTCAAGTAAGCTTTAACTCGCTGGGCCTTGGTTCAGAAGAATACCAAGGGGAATAAGGAGAGTTTACAGAAAGGGTCTAAAAGTGAGTCATGGGCTAGGGCATCTCGAAGAAAATGGTAGAGCTCAAGATGACTGTCAGCAAAGAAACCCCGGGTTGGTGGTGTGTGCTGAACATTTCTTTGGCATCTGTGGATTTAAAAGGAGCATGACGTCAGCTTCCACTGTTCATCCAGTGAACTTTCTTGATAATCTGCTGCGTGGAAGGCACTGTGCTAGTGACTGGAGATGGAAGGTGAATAAGCTGTGACCTCAAGTGGCTCCCACTGGAGATGGAAAACGTCACCCTCTGAAGAGTGTGGCAGGCGCTTGAGAGAAATGGATTTGGGATCATGCTCCTCAGACCACACTTAGCATCAGGTCCACCCAGATGGGTCATAAAATCAGAGTCAGTGTTGACTGCAGGACAACAGGCTTTCTGAGACACGGCCGAAGCAGAGAAGTTGTTCAGAAAGCCCTGGGCAATAATGATGTTTTCTTCTTTGAGTTAAGTTGTATCATTGCTGAGAATGAATTTTGTTCAAAAAGTCAGGAGAGCCTAATGTTTGTAAATGTCCCCTTAAATGTAGGTGTATAGATTATTCGTGTGAATTCCTCTGGAAAAGTGATATGACCCCTCCCCAAAAACTTGGAGGGAGCAGCAAAAAT